AATATTTATTATTAGTTAATAATAAGCACTGGTTAACTATAACCAGTAACTATTAACAGTCATCTGGTTAACTATAATTAGTAATTATTCATAGTTATCTGGTTATAATTAACTAGTAGCACAAATTAAAAATGTCTAATTAATTAATAAAATTTTAAGAATCTTAAATTTTTTAATAATTTTATTAATAAAAATTTAGAAAATCTTATAACTCTCAAATTATTACTAATTAATTCTATTTTAAGCTTTAAGTAAATTTATTATACATATAAAATTACATTATTCTGGCATATTAAATTTTAAAGTTTTTAAATTTTAAGAAAATAATACTAAATTTTAATTTTTTGATCAAAAAATCTAAAATTTGATATTATTTTCTTAATGAAAATTGATATTCATACCTCTTATTTTTGATATTTGTACATCCCATATAATATATTTTTATTTACATAATTACATAACCTATCCAAATGGCTTGAAATTCTGTCTTAAACATCATTTTGAATGGCACAAAATCACATAATCTTTTTGAGTGGCTTGTATATATGTTGCACAAAATAGAGTTTGGAGCTAGCTTTAAATTTCTTATATTAAAACAAATTTTAAACTTATATCAGTGTTAACTTTTTGCTACATAATTTGAAACCTTTTCTGTATAAAAAATAAAAAAGTACAAGCAACTGTGCATACTATTTACAAAACATTTAATTTTTCTGTATACAAAATTTGATTCTGTGTGCTGCATATGGTCTGCACAGCAAAAAATAATTATTGATCACTGTTATATTTTATATAAGTTTTAAGTTATATATAAAACAATAAAGGCCATAATGCAAGCCAACAGAATAAACAATTTTTATAATTTTTTTTTTATATAGCTAACTAAAAAATTTATTGTGTGTTTAAGCAGGTATAAGCATAGTGCCTAAACTGGTTGCAAAGACTACATCTTCATACTTGGTGTTCTATGAACTCAAATTCAGAAGAATCTCTTTTGGTTAAGCTTATTTGTTGATGATTAGAAGAACCAGAAAGACATCCTCTAGTACAAATTATCTGAGAATTTTGCAAAACAATTACTGGTGTATTAATTATATTATTTAATGATTCTTGTGTTGCTGCTTGTTAATGCTCAGGCCAGTTTTGATATTTACTTTGTAAATTTTATAATATGGTTTCAAGTGCATTTTCATTTTCAATAAAGAGTAATGGCATATAATTTTGAATCCACCAATGCTTGTGAATGTCATCAAATGTTAGGTTTTGATTACTCATAAAATTTTGTATAATATGAGTACAAGGTAAACCTATTGTACTCAAAAAAGACCTAGTACATGATGGTAAATGTTCTTTTGTAGTAGTAGCAATTGCTTTTTGGTATTGTTTGTTTACTTTTTTAAGTACAAAAGTTGAAACTATTCCTCTGATATTTAAATAAAATGGGTTGTTGTATACAAAAGCTAAAAAACAAATACATTCAGATGCAATTATAGCATCAATCTTTCTTTTTTGATTATTTACTGCAAAAAAAATTGTTTTATGAACTTGGTAAAGATTTCTTATTGATGTTTATAAGTATGCTTTAAGGGTATTATGTGCATCTTCAATTTTCGAAGTTACTGTTGTTCCTAGGCCCTATGAAAAAAAATATATTGAAATTATCGTGAATTAATACTTAAATTTTTCAGTATAAAATTCTGTATAGAATT